TTTGATATATATGTTATAAGTAGTACATTTATCTATAAAATTAGTGATTAATACAAAATTAATATATTTTTTTTGTATGTAAAAATTATGCATCAAATTCAAAACCTATGACTAATAGTATATTCAAATCGAGGAGAATGGATAGAAGGGGGAAAATTCCTTTTACTTTTTTTTTTTAATTTAATTATTTATCCAAATAAAGGGAAGGAAAAAGAGAGGCGGGAAGGGGAAATTCTCGCCCCCTCCCTCACTCAAAAGTCGGGCTCCGTCCCTGCCCCTAATATAAATATAAATAGAGAAATACGTTCTCCCAATGTAACAGATCATGCCTGTCAAGATGGGTAAGTTGGTCATCTAATATTTCTTTTATTCATTATGTTTATAAGTGTATCTAATACATGAGTTTATATGGTATTAATCAATTTATTTATTTATTTATTTTTGCAGGTAACTTGCATATATTTAGTGGATGTGAAATTTATTAGTGTAATCCCAACTAGCTACCCCTCAATTCTTAAGATATAAAACTCATTTAATTTTCTTTATAAAAACGTGAATGAAGTTTTCAATATATATAAGATGTTGTGCAGAATAAACAAAAGTAATAAAGTGTAGAAAAATAAAAGAGAAGGAAGAGAATTTTAAGTCGTGATTTATAGTGGTTCCTCCAACCCAGAGTATGTCCACTCCTCAAGCCTCCTTGCTCGAGAGTTCAATCCACTAGAAATCTCTTGCTTATAAGTGTAAGATTAAATCAAAACAAACTCTTGCTTGCGAGTGCAAGATTAAACCCTCACAAGTGAATCTTAACTCACTCAACCCCTTCAAGGATTATCCCAATCCAAGAAAAATACAAAAGCCTTGTAAGACAATTAACCCAAAAGCTCACAAGAAGAGAACAAGAAAGAGATCTATAACAGTTTCAAACTCTGTTTTCTATAGCAGTTCATCCTTCTTTCTTTCTTAGATCTGATTTTTTATATCCTTTTAATAGTTGGTTGGGAGCCTTGCAATTAAAGCCCTTTTAACCTTTCAAAGCCACCACACAATTGCCCCAATTAGGTTCCACCTTTTTCTTTTGACTTGTCTTAGAAAGTGCTAAGACATTTAGATACCCTATGACCCATTAAGAATAAACAGATAGTTGAGCTGTCAAAATTTAACGTTCCAGAATTTTTACTTTGAAACTAAAAATATTGGTTCGAATCATTTTTGGAAAAAAGAAGTTAGGGATTGGTTCGAACCAAATATAATTGATTTGAACCTAGAACTTTAAACAAGGAGAATATGATTCAATTCTAATCGCGGGGAAAGATTAGAATCCTTGAATTAACTTTCCTGCACACTTTGTACAAAAATAGATTAAATTCTTTTGAATCATGGTTTTAAACTGATGCACTAAAATCACCCTAGAAAGTGTACTAGTCACTCCAAGTAATATAATGATGAGAAGAGTGTCGAACCCATAAGGATTGTGTCTAATTAAGTACCAAAATAATTAATCCAAATTTATTTGAACAACCAAATGAGAAGAAACTTTAATTAAAAATAATAATAAAAAATAACAAATAGGAGGTACTAAAGCATTAATTTCATCATAATCAATCAATATAAATTTTGGATTAATATGCTTTCAAAATCAATTTAGTGAGTGTTATTGCATATGATGGCAGATTTCCCTAAATTAATTAACTAGCTTTCTCAAATCAAGTTAATCCTCCACTGGTTTGTTAAATTAATCATATCTTTATATAATTTTAAACAAACTAATGAGTATTAAATTCTATGAAAACCTCTAGCTTAAGAAGGGGGAACTCCTAACTCTCTTCTCTTCCAACACTACCACATATGAGCTAATTACCTCTCGGTCTCATAGTTTAGCACACGGTTTATATTATTATTGGTCTAATCTATGTAATTCTTTTTCAAATTCATACATAAATCACTAAATCAATTGAAAGATGATCAGACTTCCAATGCATTAAGTTCAATAATATAAACTCCTCATGCGAATAACTTTAATTGAAAATATAAAATCACTAAATCCATATTGAATTGATTAGGTTACATCGTACCCCTAGTAGAATAAATCAGTTCATAATAAAAATAATAAAATATGAAATCAAAGTTATAAACATTTAAATATCAAACAATAGATAAAAACTTAAGGAAAAACAAAACTCAATTTGAGAAAATCGAATTCTTTGATTTTCTATTGCTGATGGAACCTCAATCTTGATATCCAATAATGCACAAAAGAGGGCTGCCACTAGCCTCTCAAAACTCTCCTCATTTTGAATTTGGATGGGTATTTATAGGATTTTAGAAACCCTAATTAAAATAGAAGTATGACTTGGAACAAAAATAGGAAACTAAATTTTGGACGTTGATCGCATGGTACTGACACTTTGGATTCCGTGTTGACACAAAATAGGAAACAGAGTCTGGTTCTGGACGTTTAACGCATGGTGTCGACACCCCAGTTATGTGTCGACACTACACCCGTGTCGGGTTTTTGGCTTCCTTTTACAATTTCTTCAATGGTAAAATAGCAGATCTGGTCCCCCAAATTTTTCATTATGAGCACTTAGATCCCAAAACTCAAGATTCATTCATTTAGGTTCCAAATGGCCGCCCTCTTCTTGCAATTCAGTCCCTCAACTTTTAGAAAATATTCAATAAATCCTTAAAAACTCTTATTTTATGCATTCAAGTCTTTTTCTGCACAAAGAATGAAAATCATGTAAAGTCTCATAAAACTCAGTAAAACCTTATAAAACTAATCCAAATATCAATAATATCAAAGCAACAATTCCATATTAATATGTATATAAATTTAACTCATCAAATTCCCCCAAACTTAAGTTTTACTCGTCCTCTAATAAAATAAAAAAAATAAACAAAAAGAAAATAAAACCTAACTCACTTTCGTAGGAATCACGATCGCACTTAACATGTGCAACAAGCCTTTAAACCCCTAGGTCACCCTAGTGGACGAGTTGTGTCTCGTGAGAGTTTGCAGTGGATCTACCCACAAAATCCTAATGCAAGGATGTAACTACATGATATGCATGCAAAGAAAATCCAGGAATTAATATTCAATTAGACACAAAGTTTCAAATATTCAAGAGTTCTCATACATTCACTTAAAGTAAAATACTCTATCATATTCTTCATACCACTTGTTAAAAGATTTAACCCATGAGCACTTAGTGTGTGTGTGTGTGAAAATTCATAGTAAGAAGTCTCAAGTTTAGACTTTCACACCTTAGCACTTATTATTATTATTTTTTCTTCTTTTTTTTTCTTTTTTTTTTTTCATATGTCGAGTTTCCTTAGGCTTTCTAAGTTACCCATGTAATAAGCTTTTTGTCAATGACTCTCAAACCAGTTGGCTTTAGAACATTAGGTGAAGAGACACCCCTAAGTACTTACTTACTCAAGTAACAAAGGTCACGAAACATTTGACTCTTTTTTTTTCAGCCATATAACACATTCTTCTCAAAGCTATCACTTGCCTTTTGACGCAAATACTAACATTTGTGATGAAAGCACCTGATTACTCAACAAGTCATAAACTCAAAGTGCTTTGCATACTCATATTTCAAGTCGCCGTTTGACGTGAAGATTGACATGGGTTTCATGCCTAACCCCCAGTTACTAAACAACTAGAAACATTGGAGTAGAAATTAATAAACTCTTTTGTATTGACTTTTTTTTTCTTTTTTCTTTTTTCTTTTTTTTTTGTGCTTTTTAAATGCTACTAAGTCTTTTCTCTAAACTTCTCACTACAAACTTGTGATCAAGTAAAATAAAATACTCATAAACTTAAATTTCATCACAATGGTGTTATTTTTTCAGATTTGTATCTCTTCTAAAATTCAAAGATTTTAAAAGTTCTAACTCAAGAATATTCATTTCCTTGACACTAATTGGACCAATTCCTAAAAAAAAATACCCTAATTTCAAAAAAAAAAAATGTATGTCATGCAAATATGAATGCAACTAATAGATACCTAAAAGTTATTCTCTCCCCCAAACTTAAATCAAACATTGTCCTCAATGTAAAATAAAAGTAAGAGAAAAGAGAAACTTCCCAGGCTTTGCACTTGAAGACTTAAAATTGAAGTTTTGAAGTTGAGTTGTCTTCATTTAGAGGAGACTTCTAGCATGTGAATTTCCATAATCTTGTCCCCCAAACTTGTTTAATGACCTGGCCAAAATCAAAGAACAACAATTTATGCATTAACCTAGGCATAAAGAGAAAATGATTTTAAAAAAAATCTAAACTATTAAAATAAAAGACAAAGAAACAAAAGAAAATAAAAATTTTATGCTTGGGTTGCCTCCCAAGGAGCGCTTAATTTATAGTCATTAGCTAGACTTTCTACTATTCCAAGGTGGTTTTGGATCAGGTCATAAAACATGTCCTCTCGGTTTCTTAAATCTTGGCTTTCTTGCCCTTAAGTTGAATCCACCATAATATTTTCTCCAATGACTATTTTGAGGTGATTTGTGTTTAGGCCAGCAAATGTGCCTTCCCAATTCTTCTAGGAGTGCCCCCTTTGATTCCAAGGAAGATGATGTGTTCAAGCAATTTATGTATTCTTTGATTGAGTCTTATTCATGAATAAGGTAAATTTCAAATGGATCCTCATAAGTGTTTTTTTGCAAAATCTCATCAACCATATTAACAGCAAAATAATAATTAAAATCAAATTTGGTTAAAGAAGACTCCCCATTGAACACTTCAAATGACACCTGAGCTTTTTCCTCTTCCTCCTTAGGGACATCTTCTTGTTTAGTTTATGCAGGCATAATTTCTACTTCTCCAAGTTGTCCTTCAATCTCTAAGGGTAAGGTGTTTACCTCTTATTCTTGATTTTTCATTGTTGTACTAGGTAACTCACCTTATATCTCTTCAGCAACTAAGTTGAGCAAATTATATCGTTTAAATAAGCAACCATAACTAAAATGGTCTAATCCACACCATTCACAAGTGATATTTAATCATTCTATTAGAGCCTTCCTTAATTTGATCCTTTCAATGGCTGCTTGAAATCGTTCAAGTTCATCATCGTCAATTTCTTTGGTAAGTATTGCTCCAACTTGTGCCCTTATCTCTAGCGCAAGCCATTAATAATTGTCATCAATGTTTAAGACAACTCGATCCATATTTAGACTTACAAAAACAAAAATAAAAGAAACAAAAAAAAAAATCAAAGTAAAGAAATAAAAGAAAATGTTCAAATTAAATCTAAAATGAACCAACTTCGATATTAATTAAATCAACAATCCCCGGCAACGGCGCCAAAAACTTGATGCACTAAAATCACCCTAACAAGTATACTAGTCGCTCAAAGTAATATAATGATAAGAAGAGTATCGAACCCACGAGAATTGTGTCTAACTAAATACCAAAATAATTAATCCAAATTTATTTAAACAACCAAATGGGAAGAAACTTTAATTAAAAATAAAAAAAAAATAACAAATAAACCTAATCAAGATAAGAAGTACTAAAGCATTGATTTCACCATAATCAATCAATATAAATTCTGGATTAATATACTTTCAAAACTAATTTAGTAAGTATTATTGTATGTGATAGCAGATTTCCCTAAATTAATTAACTAGCTTTCTCAAGTCAAGTTAATCATTCGCTAGTTTGTTAAATTAATCATATCTCTATGTAATTTTAAACAAACTAATGAATATTAAATTCTATGAAAACCTCTAGCTTAAGAAGAGGGAGCTTCTAACTCTTTTCTCTTCCTCCACTACCACATGTGAGCTAATTACTTATCGATCTCATAGTCTAGCACATGGTTTATATTATTATTGGTCTAATCTACGTAATTCTTTTTCAAGTTCATGCATAAATCACTAAATCAATTGAAAGATTATCAGACTTCCAATGCATTAAGTTTAATAATATAAACTCCTCATGCGAATAACTTTAATTGAAAGTGTAAAATCACTAAATCCATATTAAATTGATTAGGTTACATTGTAACCCTAGTAGAATAAATCAGTTCATAATAAAAATAATAAAATATGAAATCAAAGTTATAAACATTCAAATATCAAACAATAGATAAAAACCCAAGGAAAAACAAAACCCAATTTGAGGAAATCGAATTTCTTGATCTTTTATTGTTGATGGAACCTCAATCTTGATCTCCAATAATGCACAAAAGAGGGCTGCCACTAGCCTCTCAAAACTCTCCTTATTCTGAATTTGGATGGGTATTTATAAGATTTTAAAAACCCTAATTAAAATAGAAGTAGGACTTGGAACAAAAATAGGAAATTGAATTTTGGATGCTGATCGCGTGGTGCTGACACATCGGATTCCGTGTTGACACAAAATAGGAAACAAAATCTGGTTTTGGACGTTTAACGCATGGTGTCGACACCCTGGTTATGTACCAATACTACACCCGTGTCGGGTTTTTAGCCTCCTTTTGCAATTTCTTCAATGGTAAAATAGCATATCTGGTCCTCCAAATTTTGTACTATGAGCACTTAGATCCCAAAACTCAAGATTCATTCATTTAGGTTCCAAATGGCCGCCCTTCTTCTTGCAATTCAGTACCTCAACTTTTAGAAAATATTCAATAAATCCTTAAAAACTCTTATTTTATGCATTCAAGTCTTTTTCT